GCCGACGCATTACTCGCAGCCATTAGCTCGACAAGGGGGAACTTGGCCGACATGATCCGAGAAGGGCTCGAACATGATCCCATGGCCAAGGAGCTAATCCGACTCATCAAGGAGGGCAAGACGAGGCAATTTTGGGTAGAGGACGGCCTACTCTACACAAAGGGGCAGCGACTCTTCGTTCCAAAGTGGGGCAGCTTGAGGAAGGACCTCATAAGGGAATGCCACGACACCAAGTGGGCGGGGCATCCGGGCCAAAGGCGGACAATGGCGTTGCTCGAGACGGCCTACTTTTGGCCTCACATGCGGGACAGTGTCGATGCATACGTGAAGACTTGTCTTGTGTGCCAACAAGACAAGGTGGAGAATAAACAACCGGCAGGGTTACTTGAGCCACTCCCAATCCCCGAGCGACCATGGGAGTCGATCTCAATGGATTTCATTAGTGCCTTGCCGAAGTCCGAGGGGGCCGGATCTATCATGGTGGTGATAGATCGTTTTTCAAAATATGGGACGTTCGTAGCTTGCCCGAGGGATTGCACCGCGGAGGAGGCAGCCCGGTTCTTTTTCAAGAACGTCGTCAAATATTGGGGATTACCGAGGAACATCATAAGCGATCGAGACCCGCGCTTCACGGGGCGATTATGGACGGAGCTTTTCAAGCTTTTGGGGTCCGAGCTTTGCTTCTCGACGAGTTTTCACCCCCAAACCGACGGGCAAACGAAGAGAGTGAACGCCCTACTCGAGTGCTACTTACGGCACTTCGTGGGAGCCAATCAAAAAGATTGGGCGAAGCTCCTCGACGTGGCTCAATTTTCTTACAACTTGCAACGGAGTGAAGCCACGGGGAGGAGTCCATTCGAGCTTGCAACGGGACAACAGCCACTTACGCCACATGCTTTGGCCACGGCAACCGACGGACGGAGTCCCGGAGCATTGAAGATGGCTAAGTCGTGGGAGGAACAAGCCGACTTAGCCCGAGCATGCCTTGAGAAGGCTAGGCGACGAATGAAGAAATGGGCGGACGACAAACGGCGACCACGGGAGTTCGACGTTGGGGCCCAAGTGATGGTGAAACTTTTACCCCAACAATACAAGGCATTGAGGAGCATGCACAAGGGACTTGTGCGAAGGTACGAAGGGCCATTCCCGGTGATCGCCAAGGTCGGTAAAGTTTCGTATCGCCTAGAACTTCCAAGTTCTTTGAAAATCCACCCGGTCTTCCATGTGAGTATGTTGAAGCCTTATCACGAAGACAAGGAAGACCCGAGACGAGGAGAGTCGCACCGAGCACCACCCATCATGACTAAGTCATACGATAAGGAGATCGAGGAAGTGCTCGGCCGACAATTGAAGCGACGTAGGGGAGTTCCACCGAGCATTCAATACCTCATCAAGTGGAAGGGATTACCCGAGTCCGAGGCAACGTGGGAGACGAAGGAAGACTTGTGGCAATTTCAAGATCGTCTCCACTTGTTCGAGGCAACGAGGACGTCGCCGGATTAGGCGGGGGAGGATATCACGGCCCGCGAGTTTTGACCCAACCCCTTGCCGATTTCCCTTGGGTTGGGGAGGTTATGAAGAGTCCAAGATTTAGCCCAAGTAGGGTTAGGCCCAAGTTGGCCCAATTGTATAGTGGTAGGTAGAACCATTTTTGGTAGGTAGTGGTAGGTGGTGGTAGGTAGAGACAATCAAGGGATTGTTCCACTCCCATCCGTTAGATCATATCGATCTCCACCGTCCATTGAGGAGGTGGCCTTGTATAAATAGAGGTAGGGTCGTCATTTGTATTCATCCAACATTCATTCAAGAAATCCAACAATAAAGTACTCTTCTACCAACTCTCTTGTCTTCTTACTTTCTTTCTTCGTTTTCCATCACTTAAGTATTCGCAACACAATTCGGGAGATGCTGACTTAGCTATCGCGAGGGGCGAGAAGGAGCTAAGGCCGCACGGTTCTTTGTTAAGGGAACAAGTCCGTGACAACGTGCTTTGAATTCCGGTCAATTTTGGCCAAAAATGGATATTTTGGACGTCGGTGCTAAGAAAAATGGAGTTCGGGTATGCTCGTGCAACTTTTTTCCGTTCAGGGGGTAAAGCGCAAAAACGTCCAAAGTTTAGGGGATTTTTTGCAGTTAACCCTATTTTATATGTATATAAAAATACACCAATATTCTTATTATCTCCATAATAAATTATATTTCTTTCATCTATAAAAAAAATTATATTTTTTTTACAACTTTTATTTTATATTATTATATAATTTATATTATTATTAATATTTGAAAAAACAATTTGTAAATATTATAATAATATTTTAGGAACAAAAGTATTTGAGTCAAATAAGTTTAACAATTATACTGGCGTTATGTATTTTTTTTCATTATAGCAATAAACATACATTTTATTTCCAAACACCTGAACAACTTATAAAAACAAAAAGTAACTTATAAGCTACATATCCAAATCATGGTAATCGGATCGTAAAAATATCTCGTATCGTTTTGCTCAACGTCTCGTATCGTATCGTTATCGTATCGTATCGTAAGATATTTAACCAACTATTAAAATAGTAAAAAATATATATCTACATTATAAACATATTATAAATATGTAAAATTTAATATAACTACTTATTTCAAAATAGGTATAAATTCAAGTTTCAACATCATATTATAAAATATGACAAAAATCATATATGTTCATCAAATAACATCATCTAAGAGGGTGTTTGGCTAGGCTTATAAGATGTTAAAACGAGTTTATTAGATGTTTAAGAGCTATTCCAGTGTGTTAGGTAACTTTTTTCAAAAGATCTTAAAAAATCAAAATATTATATGCTACTAGAGAGCAAATAAGATTTTTTTTAAAGTACCTTTACCTCACCTATTTATTTAAGATCTTATAATGAGTAAAATAGCTTGTAAGATCACTATCCAAACACTGAAAAAAAAAATTAAAAGTAAGACGTAACAACTTATCAGCTCTTAAAACAGCTTATCGATCAGATATAAATAAGCTTAGCCAAATTCTCCCTAAGTTCAAATCCAAATACCTAATTTCTAAAATATTCGATATCCCATAATTTTGAATATCAGTGTCACTTAAATCGTCCTCATCTACCAATTTTAAAAGATTGCATTTATCATCATCAATCGCAAAATTCAGCTAAAAAACGCCTCGAATTGGTTTTGAACCGCAAGAATCTATAGCAAATGAATTATGGTTGTAATATTGTGAGGATTGGTGAAGAAAATGAAGAGAAAAGTGTGAATTAGGGTTGGGATATTGAAGAAATATGTTCTTAGCCATTTTTCAGAGCAGATGACTGCATTTCTTGTTTTTTTTCTTCGTTTTTTTTCATTTTTTTAAATATCGTATCGTATCGTGATACAACGATACGATACGATATCTCGCGATATTTAACGGTATTTATCAATAGACAATGCATAACCCGAGTTGTATCGTTTTAATTGGAACCATACCGTATCGCGATATATATCGCGGTATATCGCGAGATTAACTCCCATGATCCAAATACCTTAAAAAATAATTTTTAAAATAAGATCTAACAGCTTATCAGCCCCTAAAATATCTTATCAGATGTAAGAGCTTATAAGATGTTTTAAATAAGCTTAGCCAAACGGGCTCTTATTTGCATCTTCATCCTCTTATCCAAATATAATCCTTTGGGTTGGTTTTTCTATGTTCAATCTGGTTCATCCAATTGTTGTCCATTATTCATTCATTCATTTCCCGGTCCTTACATAACTACTACACATTCTTTATACAGTCTCTGTTACGATACAAGCCGCATTCCATTTACACATAACAAACGGTGCATAATACAAGCCAAGGATATACAACAGACGGTATATATCCACGTCGGTCCACTAGTATTCAAACAATTCCCGATCCACAATGACGTGATAATCCATTATTTACAAGAATGTAAGCTGCATATTGAAAGGATGTCGAAAGAGCTATTGGCATTCTTTTACCCCGATTTGAAATTATCAAAGGACCTTGTCGATTACGACAATGCGAACAAATTGCTAATATTAAGGAAGGAAGGTTGTATAATTCTTCACAATATAATTGTGGAAGCAACCACAATGAAAAAGGTAATTTTGTCGATGATCCATCACGCTACTACGTGTACGAGGAGAAACCTATTCTAGCTAGTCCGAGACTCATTAAGATGACCTTGTCAAACATGTATGGAAATAGACACGGCCATGGGCCGAGTTTGACCCAGACCTGGCCCAGATCTGACCCGAAGACCGCCCCACTGACCATGGACCCGACAAAGTATGGCTCGGTTTCGACTCCCAATTTTTTGAACCTGAGACCCGATGGGTCTACCCGGCGGGGGAACCCAATGACCCGTCCACCCGGATTTTAAGTGAAATAACACAAAAAATGGAGTTTGGGGTTCAAACTCGGGTGGCCTAAGGGATTTAGTAGAGTACTGGGTGTAAACGAGTCGAGCTCGAACTCTTCAAGTATGATTTTTTGAGCTCGAGCGAGAGTCATTTTGTGTTTATTTTATTTGTTTTTTATTTTTTTAATATTGTTATAAATTTTATATTATAAATAATAATACAAGTATTGAAATAAAAAAATAATTGTAATTTTTTTTATTATTAATAAAAATAAAATAAAAATAAATGAGCTCAGACTCGACTCTTCAGCTCGGCTCATTTACACCTCTAAGATTTGAAATATTAAATAAATTCTAAAACACAAAACAATTAACAATAACATTAATAATTCATTGAACATTATTAAAAACAAGTGAACATAAATCATTTAACTTAAAATAATCTAATCAACAATAAACAGCAAATTTGAGTCTCCAAATTCAATTCCAAATTTAGAGAAAACAAAATACAGAGACTTTGCCAAAGTCTCTAAATTCCGAGACCTACTAAAACTTTCTCTGGTGTTGCCATTTTTGCTCTATATTATTATGCATTCTCGTGAAATTTGAAGACTCCAATTTTAAATCGAACTAACACAATCGAATAAATTTATATTAATTGTTGATGAGATATTTACATAACCCATTACAAGTTTGAGGGAAATAAGCATGTACATCCCAGAACTTCTACTTGAGCTACTACACATTGATTCACAGCAAACATTTTCTAAGACCCGAGCAAACATCGAAAGTTTTCGCATCAGACAAAACGTAAACATAAATTGAGCCTAGCCTAGATTCTCACTCCAATCTCGAAATAAACATGTGGAATTTAAAATGTCAGAAAAGGTAAAACTTACACAAGAGAATCGGATTTTCCGGAAAAAGGGTTCGTGACTAAAAATAATTGTTGCTTCACTTCCCAGGCACCTATTAAAAGGAAAAGAAATTAATAATAACAATTCAGTTTTTTTTGTTTGAAGTATTTCAATGGATTATCAACTATATGGTTGGAATATCACTAATTCTTGGTTATACAAAATGTCGTTTTGTGTTCTTATATTCCGCAAAATTAGCTTAATAAATGTACCAGGGTTTTATTTAGTGATTGAACTAAATAAATCAAGAAATTGACATCAGCGCTAACTATTAATTCTCACATAATTATTGAATTTCAAATTCCTATTACGCTCCGAAAAGTTCTATTTACCTGGAGCTGGTGCCTTTGAGCTGGTGAACACGAGCATCAATCTATACATTATATCGCATACAAAACGAACTGGCGAGCAGGGAAAATTGATATTCTCTACAACCGACCCAATTGCTTTGGCCTGAATTTTATCTGCAAACAATGTTAACAGGTGTCGAATATTTACACGAACATAAATCACCAGTAGTCTTTACACGAACAAATGCCATTACGAAAGTGGTGGAAGCGGCTCGCATCACGAACGACAATCTCTTGATCCACAGTGCTCGATACACACTTGATAAATTCATGACAGTCCCCACATATGCGAAGGTTCTTGAAGATTCTAATTCTTCCACCGTTAACCTTGCTTATCAGAGCAAAACCTAAAGCCAACCTCTCACTGTGGTTAAAAAGATTCTCTCGTTTTTCCTTCTCCGTCACATTATGCGGCACATACTTTGTGTTCGGTATGTACCCTACCTCACTAACTGTCTCCCTCAACTCCTCCATCTTCCTATGAATATCCAGTAGCCTCGGGTGTGACGAATCTTGAGACAAGAAAACGTGAATTTGAGCATCAATCTCAACCCAACTGCACCCAGGTTCTTTTTTGATACCCTTACTCGACATCGATTTCCTAACCTTGGAAACATCATTCCACCTCCCTTTACTAGCATAGATATTAGATAATAAAATATAGTTCGAATCTGTTTCGGGATCAATTTGGAAGAGTTTCTCAGCAGCTCTTTCACCCAATTCCACATTTCCATGGACTTTGCATGCACCGAGTACATTCTCCCAAATCAAAGCGTTTGGAGTTAGCTCCATATTCTCGATAAGTCTCTCAATCTCGTCGAATTTCCCTGCTCGACCAAGAACATCAACCAAACAAGCGTAGTGCTCAATACTTGGAGTGATTCCGTAAGATTCACTCATCGAGTAAAAATGCTTATTTCCTTCTTCGACCAATCCCATGTGGCTGCACGCAGAAAGGATCCCTAGGAAAGTAACCCCATCAGGTAAGAACCCTTCGTTTATCATTTGCCTAAAAGCTTTAAGAGCCTTATCACCCTCTCCATGTTGGGAATATCCGCATATGATTGTGTTCCACAGAACTGTATCGTTCGGTTGCATGCCGTTAAACAGAGCTTCTGCATCGTCAATATATCCACATTTTGCGTACATGTCAATCAGTGCACTTGATACAAACATGTCGGTGGATTGTCCAGCCTTAATTGCCAAGGAATGCAATTGTCGACCATTCTCAAGACTTGCAATCGCAGAGCAACCCCTCAAACTACTAGCAAGAGTGAACTCGTTAGGAATAACACCTTCTCTTCGCATCAAATTGAATAAACGAGCAGCCTTTTCGCCTTGATTAGTCTGTGAATAACCTGAAATGATAACTGTCCAAGCGAAGACATCTTTCTCATCTAATCTACTAAAAATTGCTTCCACATCCTCCATGCAACCGCACTTAGCATACATGTCAATCAGAGCAGTTCCAACATAACCGTCACGTACGAATTTGTTTTTAATTATATGCGAATGTACCTGCTTCCCAAACTCAATATTCGCGAGACTTGAACACGACCTCAGAATGCTAATAAATGTGTACATGTTGGGCGTAAAACCATCCGTAAGCATCTGCTGGAAAATCCTGGTTCCTCGATCAGAAGTTTCATCATCGTGAAATGCGGATAAAAGGGCATTCCAAGAAATCACATCCCAATTGGTCATTTTATTGAAGATACGATACCCGTCGTAAATTGATCCAAGTTTCATGTACATTGCAATTAATGCATTGCTTACCAAATGATCAAACTCCAACCCAAATTTATGAGCGCATGCATGGACGCTTTGACCGTAACGAAGGTCACCCAAATCAGTGGCAGCACTAACAAGAGTGGAAAGAGTAAACTCATTAGGCCTCATACCAGAACGCATCATTCGGTGGAACAATTTTGCTGCTTCTTCCTTTAGACCTTCTTGATCAAGTGCGCATATAATCGAACTCCATGTAACTATATCAGGATTTTCCATCATCTTGAACACTTTAAGGGCATAATTGGCAACTCCGCATTTTGAGTACATATTAACCAGGCTACACCTCACAAAATCATCAGTTTCACCGCCAACCTTGATTGCTATTGAATGGACTCCCTGACCAGCTGTAAATGCACAGAAGCTGGCAATTCCCTTTAAAACAATAGACAATGTGTAATTACTCAACCTCATTTCCGGGTCTTCCATTTCGTTAAACAGTCGTAAGACTGCCTTCCCATTTCCCACCTGCGCATAGCCATTAAGCAAAGCATTCCACACGATATTATTTTTCTCTGGCATCATACAAAAAACACCATCCGCGTACTCCATTTCCCCACTCTTGGAGTAAAGGTCAATCAAAGAGGAACCAATGTAAGCATCGGAAAGAACGCCAATCTTAACAGCCTCTGCATGAATTTGTTTCCCGAAATTCAAGTCCAACGACACTGAACAACCCTTCAAAACAGTAGCCAAGGTGAACTCGTTCGGCCTCACATCCTCCCTCCTCATCTGACAAAACAACTCAATGCTTTCGATTCCATGCCCTTGAGCTACAAAACCCGATATCAGAGCGGTCCACGAAACCACGTCTTTCATTGACATTAGCTCAAACACATTGCGCGAAAAATCTAAATTCCCACATTTGGCATAGAAATTAATCAAGGAAACCCATAGATGCAAATCAGGCTCAGAACCACTTCGTATGATACATCCGTGAATCATTTTACCTTCGTTTAAACGCATTCCAGCCGCACAATCTCTTAGCATTTTGGAATAACATTTAAGCCTATTTTTTTCATTCACACTTTCCAAACCACTCCTTTCCGTTCCCCTATCGGTCGGAACCTGTAGACGACAACTTTGTGCTTCTTTTGACTCGTGCCAATGTCGTACCTTTTCTGGGTTTCTTCTAGAATCAAAACCCCAATTGGGCTCTTTCGTAGTGATGAGAGCAGCAGTGGAAAACGAAGACCGGAAGCCAAGGGAACATAAGAGATGGTTCTTTGTGGGGTAAAACGTCGAACACATTCTGTGCACTCCACAGAAATTTGACAAAATGCCTTCGACGACGATTCGGGGTGGGCTGCGCATTTGCATAGAGACAAAGTCGCATCCCATTACGTCAGTAAAGAGAAAACGAGACGTCATGTTTCATACTAGCCGTCGAGTATTGAACTGAAAATACAGGCGCGGCCGCCGCCGCCGCAGATTGTGGAGGCGGCGGTGTGTTGAGTGAATGAACTTTAACTTGAGTGTCTTCTGAGAATGGGATTCTGGGCTTCGTCGGGATAAAATACAGCCGCCACCCGTTCTTACTTCTCTGCAAATAAAGAAAAAGAAATGATGTATCAATATTTGTTATATTTCCCAGCAAGTTAAACTTGATTATTTTGATAACATAATTACTTTTACCTATAAAATATTTACCTATTGTAGGGGTAAAAATCGGAGTAACCCGGTCGTAGTTAAAACTTTTAGGGACAAAAATAAATTAAAGGGAATAACTGATTTCAACAATATTTATGTATGCAAGTGGGGATGATGCTTGGGATGTCCTTCAACTGCATTGCGAAGGTCCTGAACGTGTAAGGAAGACAAAACTAAGACCGATGCCTTTCGAGTTTGAATGCCTGAGAATGAAACTATTTCTCAATACAATGAGAAAATCGCTGATTTGGCAAATGAGTTTCAATCTCTTGGAGGTCCACTGAGTAATGAAACACTAGCCAACAAAGTATTGAGAACATTCACATAACAGTTTGAATTGAATTAAGGTCACTGCAATTGAAGAATTGTCCGACACATCGACCATTAGGCTTGATGAATTAATGGGGAGTCAAGCCTAGTGAGATGAATGATGAGGAGGAAAAGAAACATAAAAGGGAAGTATGTGAGACATGCTCTGCAAACAGATGTTGCTCAAAGTGTCACAACACCTGATGATGAAGATTTAGATGTTGAAACTTGTTTCAACAATGTTGCTCTTCAAATCAATCTTTATACTGATATAAATGATGTAGATCAATGTTGTTTTACATACAATCAATTATTTGGATGACGCTCACAGAACTCAATGAACAGAAAAAACCAATGAGTTTAGAATCATACCACGTGCATCAAGCAATATGATCGAGTAAGTAAACCAAAAGAAGACACGTGATGTGGATGCATTGTTCTATTTTTTGTCGCACTTGATCGTTCTATTGGAAGAATAGAGTGACTACATTCGCCTTATCACAGTCACCATATGGAAACTCCCGATAAAAGTCATATTAATACGCAACACGTTCGGCGAAAGGGTAACAAGGCAGCCACAAAATAGTTGCTTTAATGAAATAACCAAACTCTGTTCATGAATTACTTTATGTGGTTTTGAACATTGCATTATCTAATATATCTTGAATGAAATGTTCAGGTTGTTTTTTTTTTTCCTTAAAAAACATTACAATAAGTAATTTATAACACTTATTTGATATCCACAATTTTTAATTTACCCCTAGGCCTTTGATTTGAAACATTAAGGCTTTGTTTGGTTTGGGGATTTAAAATGAGGACAATTAAAATACAAAAGCAAATGAAAATAAATAATTTGAAAATCTTATTATGTTTCGTGATTACATTGACGTTTTGGAAAATGACTTTCTTCAATTTTGTTTGGACGGTATAAGAAAATAATGAAATAAAAATAGTAATAAATTACGGAGCAACTTTTTTCATCCTTATAGATGATTAAACCAATTCGAATTCTCTCATTTATTGAATTCAAAAAGGAAAAAATAAAAATAAAAAGACCTCATTTTCCTTTGTGATGCATATGTATCTTCTGACTTCTCTGTCTATTTCAAATTTTTCTTTCCAAAGCCAAATCGAATTCCACAAATGTTGGTTTTTGGCTCAAATGTGTTTTGGGCCATAGAGCCCAATTGCCATCAGTTATTATACACCACCATATTGAGTTAAGCCCAAGATTTTATAAGTGAGCCCAATCCATTTCTGAGTCAAATCCATCCATTGGATTTCAGGCTGAATCTGGACCGTCTATTTCCTCACTTATATACTCCTTTCTCTCTCCTCACTTCTCTCATTCTGAAACCCTAGCCTTACCTCT